ACTAGCTAAGTGACCTTCAGTCCTATACTCACTTCCTAAGCCCCTGTCTCCTCCTTTCAGTGCAGATAATGGTGTTTATCTTCATCAGAGCTGGGGTGAGGGTCACATTTCCTTATGGAGGCAAAAGGAATTTGTGAACTTTAAATGACTGCAAATGTAAGGTGATGTTATTGCTATTTATCTCCATATTTTAATCATTGGTTTTAAACTTCGAAGGTGAAAGTGTTATTCTTGATCATCTTTGTTACTTTCTCTTGGGAATTACTGGATGCTTCCCCTACTTTTGTCCTTCTTTTTAAGTCATACCTGCCATTTACCCACATTATTCAATGTTATGTTATTATTTAAACATTTCCTTCTATCCCCCACTATTAAGTTCTATCCAGACTGATCAGGCTCCTCTGCAGTGCTGTGTTCCTCCTCTTTGTGGGATGAAGAAAACAGTCCTGCTCTTTATCTCCTCTCTGCAGGTAGATAGCTACTCTCCTCCTAGATTCTTCTCTTTCACATTCCCTGGCACCAGAAATCAAACTTCTGTCTGTCCCCATGTCTTTCAGTTTCCTCACCAGGCTCTCAATTCATTGGAAGGTGCGCTTCAGGCTTCCTTGATTTGAACATTTGTGACTGCTTTTGGCCATGAAATCTCCTGGAAGCCTCTGGTTTGGGATCCTGGAAGATCAGGGTCTCTCTGCCCCTTCTTTAAGCAAGTCTTCTTTGCCCATTCTCTTGCTTCTGAAAATTGCTAAGTTGTTAACGCTCCTCAACAACTTATACATTCCTGGTGTCAGTTCTGCTCTTTTCAATGAACATCAGCTAAACCAAAAACTATGAGGCCAATATTTCAAGCCCCTCATTTGTGTCGTACTGGTCGTAGTGTTGTGTGAAGTGTGGACAGGGTTAAGACCTGTGCTTCTCCCCCAGAACTCACAGTCTAGGTCAGGAGACAGTGGATATACATAAGTACGTTAATTTACATAAGGTAACCAGAAATTGAATTACAAAGCCTCTGCTTTGCAGCGCAGTGTGTTCTGCAAACTTCCTGGTTAAGTGTATCATTTTTAATCAGTATTTTTTTTCCCCCAATAGGGGTACACTATAACTGGAGTCACAAAATAATTTATTTTCCAAACTTTGACACTGACAACAATGAGGAGAGTTGTTAATAATTATACCTGTGTAATAGGCATAGACTAGAACTGTCCTTGTAAAACTGGGATGTAGGTTCACCCTAATTAAAACTGGTGATATACAAGAACTCAAGCATTCAATCATAGCTTTAATCAGAATGACACAGAAAGACCCAGCAAATCTAAATCTTTGTAATTTTAATAAAATATTAAATTGTACTCTAAGTCCAATAAACAAGACAAATACGTTATATATAGTTAATTTAAAATAGCCGGAGAAGCTATGAAATATTTGTTTAGCATTTAAAATTATGATTTTTATCATAAATTTGACTTGCTTGAGATATTAAAAGTTAATCAAATTCTTGCCTTTTTTGATTTTGGTGGGTTTTTTAATGAATTGACCTAAAGATTTCCAGTACCTTTAAAAGGCAGGATGCCTAGGTAAGTTCGAACAGATTTCCTTTTTTTACATTCTTCATGAATTTCTCAGAGATAGCAAAGAATGTTCATAGTTTTTTTCATTTCCATTCATCTGTCTGTATATTTATCCATATATTCATCTATCAAATTGACAACTGTTTATTGAGCATCTGCTATATGTGGAGTGAGCCTTGTATATTAGGAATACAATCACAAATGAGATGTGGTTCCTCTTTGTTTGTTTGTTTGTCTTTCTGTGTTCCAGCTATGTCTTTGTTTTTTCATCTCCCTCTGCTTCTTTTTCCCTTTGTCTTTGAAGCAAACACCTGTGAGATTAGGTTCCTCCCATTTCTGTATTTGGCAAGAGATTTGACTATCTAGTTGTTACAAAAGTCTTGGTAGAGGAAAACAAATAATAGCTCTGACTCATTTCTTAAAAAATTACATATCGGACTGGTCGATTAGCTCAATTGGTTAGAGGTCAGTGTTGTAACACCCAGGTCAAAGGTTCAGATCCCCATCCTGGCCCAACTACCAAAAAAAAAAAAAAAATTACACATGAAGAAAAGAAATTAGAAGGTACCAGTAAGAGGGTGTAAGCGAAACATGTTTCCAGCAAGCAGTAGTAATTCTAGCGAACGTCCCTTTAGTTTATAAGCTTTTGCACTTACATTCTCCTAATATCAATTTACTCTGCTGTTCTCGTCTCCAAGAGGAGCACAGATGATCGTTACACATTGGATTTGATATCCCAGGTGAGCATTCAGGAAATGGAAAGTAGTTCGGTAGGGTTGGAAGAGTGAGTTCAAATTAGGGAACAGGGGTGGTCACATGTCAATGGCAAGAGATTTAGCCCAAGAAGTAAGAAAAAGTCTTATAAGCTTTCTTAAGGAGCTTGAACTTTATCCTGAAGGCAAAGAGAAGTCTTTTAAGGTATTTTTATCAAAGGAGTGACATGATCCTATTTACTTTTTAAGACTCTAGAAGGGAGGTAAGTATGAATGATGGCAGAGCAGTTAAGAGGTGGTTTTAGAAATCCAGGGGATAGATAGCCACCTGGACTAGGGAATGGAGAGTCATGTAACAGTTGCACAAGCAGCATATTTGATGCCTGAATATGGGTGCCAGGGGTGGTTACACATTATTCCCAGGTTTCTTTTACTTGGGTGTCTGAAGATGGTGGTGCCATTTACTGAAATGGATGGTGGGCAAACTTGGGGCATCGAGAAGGTTTTCATCGAACTGTATGGTTGCAATCAGTTGATTTCAATCTTCTAGTAATAATCAGTGTAGCATCTAACATTCGGATTCCCTCACTAAAGGCTTTGGTTGTGAGCATTTGCAGAAGAGATATTTATCACAGCTGATTTTTATAATACATTTCTTTTGCTTTTCTCTGCCCCTCCCAATAACATTGAGTCACCTTGCAAAGAAAAAGAAATCACAGAAGGACAGCCTGAAACGTGTGTCTGTGTAAGTGCTGGTGGCCGAGTATGGTGTGGATGGTTCATTATGTTGGTTTACAAACTTCTGGCCTCTCTCAGCCCACTGGAAGAAAAGCTGAATAAGACCCCTTCCCCACCCCTCCACCCCCCA